CATAGGTGCGAGGATCGGACCTAGTGCGTCAGGGCTGAGCTCCTTGTCGGCCGTGATTCAGGTACCTACCTGGGATATTCTAAGGGAGAGTGTTCCGGGCAAGTTCCCTTGAAGCTTAATTGGTGGTCGTCATTTACGACAGAGCGACCCAACACCTTTGCATCGAACGTTACATTCGCGTTCGCTCCCCCAAGGGCATCACAGTTGTGCGATTCAAAATCGCCGGACAACGTCAGCGACAGTGTTGTGGTGTTGTCATCTTTAGGTGTAAGATAGCCACGTAGTGACAGTGGCTGGAAAATGGGGTGCATTAGGGCATGGTCAGATGGATTGCATTCTAAGCGGCGCAGAAAAGCCGCCTGTGCACACGACAGGAGGACCAAAGCCCAAAAGAGAGTAATAGTGAGGCCCATTATGACCGACACATGATCGTGATACAATTCCCACCCTCTTGCAGATCGTTTGATGATCGGTAGAAGGAGGAACCCGGCGAGGAATAGACATGGGTCGTCAGTGCCGGCTGTTGCTGGCCGGCACTGACCCAGTGACTGTGTAAGTAGATGACTAACCCGTCTTGGATCCTCTCCACTATTAAGAGACTGAAAACTTTTCCAGAAAAGCAACAAAAATAGCATAGAGTCTGAGGAGCTCCGGTCTGGTCTTCTTGGCTGGCTCTTATGATTGGCTACACGAACCTGCAGACGGCGCTAGCTTCCGAAAATCCTCCATTGGGAAATTTTCAAAGTAAACATCTCTGGTCTCCCGCTCCAGCCCAGCTCAAGCCCTAAAACACTAGACCCACGTTAAAACGCACTAACCTCTTGGAAGAGGCTGCCTTCCCCTTAAGCCACCGTTTATGTCTGCGCGGGTTCTCTCCTTGTCTTTTCTCATACTCCGGATTATATCCGGGTAGGGCGCAAATGGGATATTATCATTGGCCCATCAGGCATAAAATTTGGCCCCGTCACAATAGGCCATTGGACAGTCAAATATGAATGGCGTTCTGTACAGAATGCCGAAATAACCTCGGTCAAGTGTGCGGATTTATACAGGACAGCCATATATTCACATATTAATCAATATCTTATAACTATAGCAAGTGACACGGTCCCACGACTCGTCAGTCAAGCGACAGTCGCGGCTGATACCTCGTATCAATCGGAGAATTGCTCCTCCCTGGGAGTCGCTCAAAGACATAAGAACTCCCCGGCCACCTAGCCTCCTGTCGCGTGATCTCCTTCAGCCCGCTATCGAAGTTCCGGATGCATTGAATCGCGCATCCAAGCCCTACCACCGTCAGTACCAGCGTCACACTGGCAAACAACAGCATCATCTCCTTGCCGGGGGTATTAGCGCGATTTGTCTTCCCACAGAGGATAACAATACGGCTGAGGAGATAGGCAATCAATGCGAAGAAGCAAAACTGAATCCGATTAGTAATGAGGCTCAGGCATAAAGTGGATACTAAACTATGAGCGACTTACAATCACAAATGTCATGCCGAGTTTTAGCTCCGATTTGACGCAGTAAATGCCGAAGATCATGACTAAGATCGCGGCTGGGATGATTGCCATTGTCAGAGAGTATTCGGGCTCCTCGTAATGGACATCGACCAGGTTATACTGGACAATGAAGCCGATTAGGAAGAAGACGTCGAATCGGATCAGGACCAGGTATATCTATACGCTGGATTAGTCAGGAAACAGTATTAAAGCTTCGGACCTGATTACCTCGTAGGCTAGATACCGCCATCGCATATCCGCGCTGCCGTGGATACATTTGTAGATTGCCCAGGCGTACTCCTTGTGTAGTCGATACGCAGCGGGTATAATAGTGAGAGAACCGAGGCCCAGAATAATCGGAACAGCAAGTTCGGCCGGTCGCATCCATTTCCAGATATCTGTCGACGGATCGGCAAGGGGATGGTTATAGATATCATGGGCATACTGTAGCGAATGAGTGGCCCCGCGCATTTTAGTGTATTGTAAGGCGGAATACACGACGATGCAGGTATTGGTGACGCAAATGGCAACGAGGGAGATGTTGTTCTTGTGGTGGATGGCATCTAGGGAAAGCATCGCTTCATAGACGCATGCGAAGACCACAATGCCCATGCCGATCGGGACAATGTAGGATATCGTGACTTGGGTCACATTGGAGTTGACCCAGCCTAGCCATTCCACCAGAATGTATCTATTGCACGTCAGTTGACTCTGTGATTTCAACTTCGAGCTGTGTACGTACACTTCGAGGCTAATGACTAGCAGTGCCTGGATGAACAGGGTTCCACAGAACCACCACTCGTTCCTGGTGGTGGGTCTGTACATCGTCGCTTCGAGACGATGCGATCTTGTAGAGTACGACACAATATTGATTTGACGGTCTCAGGGAAAACCCGGGCACTTTTAAGTGTGCTATGTGAATTTGGTGGGACAAAGTTTTCATGGGCGGAGCACCAATGAAGCATTAGTTAGTTGTCCATCGGTGGGTTTTGTTTGAGGCGTTAGACTGTGTTTACCTAAGCTGATCTACGGAGTTAGTTTGCATAGTGTGTGGAATGATAACCGGGGGGGATCCACCGTAAGGCTTGATATGGCTTTGATCGTCTTCAGAGCTTTGATTAGATTGGCTGCGAACCTTGTACCAAGACTAGTGGTTTACGAGCTTTTTGAGGGTGCTTCGGTCTTCGCCGGTGGTGGTGGTTCTCTTGACTTTTGCTTCACTTCTCCGAGGAAAAACCTAAGCGAGACAGAAAAGAACGTAGAGAAAATCTCTCCTCATCATCCAAAATTAAGTCAGGCGTTATAGGTTCACTTGAGTTAAAAGCACCGATTTATCCAGTGCATTCCTGCCTTATGCATTGCAATCGAACAGTTAGAGGCTCAAACAACCCTCCACCCCCCACTTACCCACTCATCAGATCCACCCCCAGCCCCTGCGCAGTCACTTGATTGCACCTCCATAAAAACATAATAACCTCATCCCGATCATGCCACGCATCATTATACGCAGCGCTCACCGTCAGCTGTCCTTTAAACGTACCCAAGAACAACCCCAACCCCGTCCCCAGCTCCTCACCTGTAACCCAGGGATTATCTAACTGAAACGCACCATGAGCCCGTGAAATTACCTTGTCCAGGTTTCCCATGCTGGATATAGAGGCTGACGGTGTTTGGTTTGGCTTGGGTACAGGGGGCGTCACATCGTCGGATGGGTAGGGACGAGTGCCCATTTCCCAGTACGACGGGACCAGATATATATGTTCTGGGTCGTCGCGGATCGCTAGGTAGAAGTCTCGGACGACGCGAGAGATCTTGAGGTACTCCTTTTGCCGGGACTCGTTGCAAGTGGGCACACCGTCTGTTGCAGTCCCAGGAACGGTCAGGTCAATTGCTAAACCCCTTCCGGAGACGGAATGGTAGACTGCGACGGCGTGTGCGGGGGAACTATAAGGCTCGATGCAATGCGGCCGTTCGTTGATGAGGCTGTAGTTGATGTACCGCACTGTGCGATCGTGGCTTTCCCGTTTCTGGAGATCTCGTACGCCAATGCTGATGGCGGTGTGGTACGCGTGCGTTACGCTGAGTCCGAGAGATTTGCAGGCGTGTAGTAGCTGCGAGGTTTGTTCGGCGGGGAGCGTGATGGCTACTCGCTGGTGTTTGCCTGGTGTCAGGGGGCCTTTCTTGAATGGCATGCTGGCTATTTCTACGCCGGTTCTGAGAGCGGTATTGTTCTGAATGATGTCGTCTAATCGTACCTTCTGCTGCGGTTCTAACGTGGGACGTATACCAGATGCCACACGAAGAGGTGGGCTGAGGTTCACCGTTTCGTCGCCAAATGATGGCAGGGGGTACTGGCTCCCCTGATCAAACGCCTGGGCTGCATGTGCGACCAGATTGTTGAACAAGAGTAATGTGCCAATACCATCCACAATATTATGGTGGCAGCGTAAGACCAGATCGCCAGTGACCTGTCCGGTCGAAGGAGTTGAAGGCTTGATAAGGAAAAGAGTTGGCAGTTTCGGAACCGGAGGGTCACTATTGCACCATTCCTGGCCAGTCTGTTTGGTAGAGTTGACGCGAAAGGTAGCGTCCACCCATGCCTCCTGTGATGCCGTATCAACAGCTGTTTCATATATTTTTTTGCATTTCTTCTGGTCGGTCTTGTACTCGATCCAGGATGCCAGAGTGGGATGATCATAGCGAAGACGAAGCCATGCCTTGCGCAACGCTTCCTCCGCTCGTCTTTCTGTCTCCGATACCAAAACAGACGCCTCAATGGGTACCGAGAACGAGAGATGTCCCGTCATCGCGAAGAAGGTCCGCCCGCTTCCTTCGTACGTTTTCGCCAGAGAGGTATAGAATTGCTCCGCCTCATCGATATCGCGCTCCCATCTCCCAGGACTAACCTCCTTCCAGGAGAAATTGGGGCTGTTCGTACGTGTCATTGGAATGGTGGAAACCTGGTTGTACGTGATGAGATTGCCAGGATCCAAGGATCCAAGGGCTGCTTCTAGCGCTAGATATAAATATACTTGATGATGGAACTCAAGGAGCCTCGGGCCGAACTGCCGTCATGAGGGAACACGCAGCAACTCATCCAGTCCCCAGTTCTCCGCATGAATGCGTATCATTCTGCGGATGTTTACTGGCGGGTAAACCTCGGCGATTCCATAGCGGCGTCCTCAACTGCCTCGTTGGGTAGTATCACCAACGACTGGGGAGTAGCTCCGCGCAGCCGCGTGTGCTCATAAAAGCGACCAATGAGCACATTCATCGACCGAGGTTATTGATGGAATATACCTTTTCGGATGGAGAGAAACACCACCGATGAAGGCCAAATGCAGCTCCAAACAAGCTTTTCTACCAAAAATACCTAGTCGTAGACTCGAAATTGCCCGTGATAGTCATCGAATTCTTGATGGTCTACACACCGAGAGCAGTTGGACCCACCCTACCACCCGGAACGTCGAAAACAAAAAGAAAAAAACAAGACAGATATGGGACGAGCCGGGTTTGAACCGACGACCTCTCGATTACCTTTCGGTATTTATGATGAAGTTGAACTTCAGTCGAACGCGCTCCCAACTGCGCCATCGTCCCATGATACAATATGCGTATCTGGATTTATGGCAACATAACCTACAACTAACAGAACAGCGTAAAAATCAACATTGACGGACTCCGGAACGTGGGAATGAACAGCTCTATAGGCGCGGATTACGAGATTGAGGCAGGGCTAAATGGCGTAGGCGTAGTACCAGATACAATACGCCTGTCATAGAGCCCTGAAATAGGGCGTCGTTGGCGTTGTCTTGACACGACCACGGCGTTCGTGATCCGAGCCCTCGGAATCACTCCGGTCGTTATCTCCTTCGAAAGGTGATGTGGATCGTCCACGCTCTGTCGACCAGCCCACTGCTCTGCAAGGCAGGCATTCTGCCTGTCATCGATACCTTCGTCTCCCTCGTGCTGTGCCGATCTCTGCCACTTTGACCCGAACAATTGACTGTATTCCTTACCCGAAAAGACCCTAAACTGAGGCGCTCTGTTCTCCAAGAGGACGAATTTCCGCGCATCACCTTGTACCGGGAAGAGGTTCTTATCGCTCAAGTTCGCCAGGGCAAACCGAGCGAAGAGAAACTCGCGCGCCACGCCTGTGAGCGGCAGAGTCTCCACGTTATGGTACCGCTCCTGTAACTCGCTCGTCGCCAGGCTGCTTAGGACATGTAGGACCCATCGACCTTGTTTTGGCACGATGCAAAATTGGGGATGATCCCATAGACAATGCACATCGCGCCTTGGCAAGGTTGCGTTATCCGCGCAGTTAGTGTCCACGCTGGTCTCGGGTTGTGCCGTGTAAAGGTACATTAACTTGGCCCGCCACCATTCCTCTTGAACTACGGGAACGAGAGCGATCTCGTTGGGCAATGAGGAGCAGGTTAGTCGGCAGGCCCGATCACGATCGAGAGCCCTTCCGCTTGTGGCGGGTAGGACCTGCGCTCCTTCAGCCTCAGACCAAGAGTCAGGTAATGTGGACGGCAAGCGAAAGTGATCAAAACGATGGGACTACGGGGTAGTCGATTTCTGGCCAGATTCGGTTAGTGGGAGAGTGAAAGGACGCGCTCGCACTGAGGAAGGATGATAAACCTTCATCAATACAGAAATAATAATGCGGGTTTGTTAGGATTTCATCCCGTCGGGTGCCACCCTCCCGGGGGCCATTTCGCGTTGTTGAGAAGTAGCCGTCCCAATGGCAATTCGCTAGAATCGCACAGGCTACACGTGCAGTTTCATGGTGGACGCCGCCGGTGTCGAAAACCGGGAGAACCAGTAAAACATTCTCATTGTCGGGATAACCTGGGTGGAGAAACAGGACCATCCGGACTGTGGGTGTTGGGATTTGGAGGGGCTCTGCATGGCGATTTATTTTGAACTGCGGCGCCATTGTGACAGGCTGCACAGTAGATACCGGGTGGATAGATGCCTATTCGAGTTCAGTTCATGAATGCATCCGGAAGACAACTCCCAGTTAGATCCCCAACCTCCCGGGTCATATGCCCTATTTCTGCCTAAGGTTTCCCCGCCCTGGATGGACGGAAGGCGCTCTCCCATCTGCCCCATTAGGAAGAATACCCAGCCGGAGGAGGGAAACCCTAAACCACCGCTCGTAAAGCTAAACTCCATCATTATCAATTACTGCAGAATCACCCTTTGGCCTCCCAAGAAGCTTACTATGTCTCTCAGGCAAGGTCACACATGACTCGATATCCCTGCAGATTGTTGATCCCTTGCCTGCACATGAGGGAAAGTAGAATATCTTCTAGCAATGGATATGTCGGCAGTGAAACCGATATAAACATGACCGGAACAAGAACCATAGCATTTGCCACCGCATCCGATATATTCGGACCCTCGACTGAGCCCATTGCCGCGGAAGTCCAATCCCAACTATACCCATATGCGGAACAAACCGCTAACCAAAATAACGGTGCCATAAGAGCGGACGATCTCCGCAGACTCTTCGATGTGCAACACGACCTGATTTTCAGTCACAATGTTTCCATGGCTGACTTCGTGTTCATCTTCCAGGGAACCCGGGCCCTTCATACTGGGTACTGGGGTCTTCTCCCGTTTGCGAGGGGGCATGTACACATCGTCTCGGATGATCCCCGGGTGTTACCGGCTGTGAACACAAATTTTGAGGCGTTGGGGTGGGAGGATGTATGTGACTAGTCCTTTAATCGAGATGTTCGATAGTGAGATACTTTCGGGATTGGGGGCTGTTCCGGAGAATGCCTCTGATGAGGCATGGAAGGGTTGGATTGCTGAGCAATGTGGGTTTCTTGGGTATGCTTCGGATATTGGGACCGGTTTACTGATGAGGAGTGTACAGAGACTCCCAATTATCACGCGATCGGAACAACTTCTATGCTGCCACGTTCGATGGGAGGAGTGGTGGATAGCCGACTGATGGTCTACGGAGCGACGAATGTCAGGGTTGCTGATGCCAGTATCCAGCCTATGCAACTTAGCGGGCATCCTATGAGCAAATTATATGCTATTGCGGAGAGGGTGGCGGATTTTATCAAGACGGATCAGACGCGCGCGTAAGTCTTAGGGTTTGCTATCGTGTTGGAGGAAGTGCTAGCGAGGTTGTCGGCTGTACGGAAACCTTGCCAGTTCTATTCACGAGTGCATCATGTAGAAGGGGATTTAGGATCTTGATGGGGTGGGAGAAAGTGTGGTGGTGGACAACATATATATCCTATCCTGTGTTTATCCGATATCTTTTGAATCCGTGATCATGAATTCCGAGTCCTACACTAGGATATATATTCATAGTACCTAGTGCACAAACATATTTCCGGATATAGTAAATGACAGACGTTGGAACATCCATGGATTGAATACGATCGACCGTCCTAGTTCTTCAAATTAAGTTTGCCGATCGATCACCATCACAGTTCCTTAGAATGAAGTGGGTACGGGGCGAAGGATCTCATTCTCTGTCATGGAATACAATATCTAGTTGGATTATCATATGGTTGAATGGTTATACACTACTGCAATTAATGTTAACACTACAATATGGGGAAAAGCCACTCGTATCAAACGGTCTTGATGCATAAATCTATAATACAATGTATGTTCGACTGTACAGTGGCTCAAATCGTAACTCAAGTAAATCTAACCCCCCCACTTTATGACCCATTCCACCCCTTGGTGAAGATAGGCTTTGGAGAAATTCACCATATTCTTCCGCATGATGGGTGAGATCGGGCGGATATGATGACAGGTCGGCAGGTGTCTTGTTCCCTCGATCCTGCAGAATGGCAACTGCGAAGATAACGTCCATATTCCAGGCTCGAGAAGATGATCGCGATGCAATTGTTATGAGAAGATATAGGTAGTGTGGTAGAAATAATGTAGCGTGAGCGGACGGGAGGGTGCGTCGTCGTGGTTTCTCACGGAGAAGGTCGTCCATAAACCGGACGGTGAAATTCGTGGGGGTAGTCTTGAGAGATTGGCCGTTGGAAAATATTAATATAAAATCGAACCACCGGGGTTCAATCGCGCGTCATTGTTCACCTATGCGTTGTTGGCGCAAGTAAAACTGCCGTGAGAGCTATCGTTATGGATCGCCACACCGGAGACCCAGAGACCGAGACCACAGATCATCACACCAAAGATGAACAAGAGTACGTTGCAGATGGTCAGGAAGATCTGCTTCGGAGAAGAAAAGTATTCACCCCGATAGATGTATAGCCAGAAGACACCGGGAAGACCGAAGGTGAACCAACTGACGAAGAGAGCGCTGACCAAGCTCAGCAGGTTGCTAAACACGGGAATGGCCTCGGCAATCACCCACGCAATGACCCAGAAGATCACGGCCAGACCAATCCAGGCACCGATACTGCGCATGCTGCGCTTGTGTATCAGCTCAGTTCCCCGCAGCAGACGCACATAGACGTTCTTGATGGCCACGTGACCGAGAACGACACCGGCAATGACAATCGTGGGAATGGCAACTCCATAGGCGACTTTCCGGACGACGGGACCGGCGGACCCAAGGGCCGGTGAAGCGACATTATCACCCGCATAGCGATAGATGACCGCCGATGCGACCGTGTACAGAATGATTTCGAAGCCCTGCAACATACAGAGAGACTTGGGGAAGTCCTTGGGGTTCTTCATCTCGGCAATGAAACCGAAGAAGGCGGGATGACCGCAATAGGCGAAGACGATGTTGGTGACTGCAGTGAACCCGGTGGCGAAGTTGACCTTGCGAGTCAGATGCATCTCCCCGAATCCGGGGCGCTCCACACCGACACCGATCATGGTGATGACAACGGCAGTGAAGATACTCAGGAAGGCTAGCATTTGTTTGTTAGCAGGGTTTTCATCAGATCCCACAGCAGGAGAGCTTCTTACAGGTCACGGCCAGCCAGGAAACATTCTTCATGGTCCGGGGCAGGGAGAAGATCAATGAGAGGATCAAACCGACGACACCGAAGACAATCGAGCAGGTACCGTGGTCGGTCAAGGTGTTCATCATGACGGTGAAGGTCAACAAATGACTTCCACAGGCGAACAGGAAGAACAGCAGCTGTCCGACTTCAATGATGCCGCGGCCGATGGGCCCCATGAGGATAAAGCCTGCGTCGGCCATGCTGTGCACGAAGGGGTATCTTTGGCGGAACTGCCCGATGACATAGCCAGAATATGTGGTGACAATACCAAGACCGACGATCAGGATGATAGCCCTAGAGGATGAACATTAGCGACAATTGAATCTCACTGGGGCGAATATTGCGGTGCTTACGGGATCAGACCAATGGAGGCCAGAGTAGCGGGCAACGAGAGAACACCGACGGAGACGGTTTCCGCAATCATCACTATTCACAGACTGGTTAGGATGTTGGACGCAAATTGGGTACTTGGCGTGGGAGTCATACGGATTCCACATTGCCTATCACATCGTTTCAAGTTAGTATGGGGTTTGAAAGGATTTCTGGGTCTGGTCTGCCGATCGTGAACTTACCACCAGTCCAACGTTTTGTATTTGACCTCCGCCGTCTCTTCCGCACCGAAAGGATCGA